TGAAGACACACATTTGCACCCACCTAGAATAAATTGCAAGACAATAGCTAAATGAGCACAGAAACTTGGCCCTTTCTACAGGAATGAATTTCAGCCTCAATGTGTTAAAAGGCTTAAATTGTTTGCCATTGCAGTGGCAATGTTTACACTTATGTTCAAATAACCCTCTGAGTTTTATTAATCATTTAATCTGGTAGGACTACAAGAAGCTTTAATGGAGGTGGGCTGCAGAGTTATCTCACATTTTACAGAAGCAATCTTGAAACCAAAACACCACTTATTAGGAAAAAAGTCTGAGCTGCACAGTCATATTAGTTACATGAAAACTACGAAATAAAGACGATGTTTAATTATCTGACAGTAACATTACCAGGGAAGAAGAAAATTTTTTTGTAACTGGTTTCTCTTAGCCCGCAATAACAAGATTAGCAAATTCTTCCCCCTCTCTCATGTTAAGAAAAAAGGAAAATGTAGAAACAGGAGTCTGCCTGGTCCAATTTAAAGTCTGTTCTATTGTTGTATAAGAATGGCAACAGTTCAACAATTATTTATGATCATCACCTTTAGATAATAAAGACTAGCACACTCTGAAATAGGAAACAAACTGTAACCAAGGAAAAAGGGAAAGAAAGTTCCTCTTTAAATTACTTTTGGTATTTCTCGGCCAGTTCTTGTCACCCTTGTAAGAGTGACTCCAATGGCCTCACACGTGGAAACAGGCCTCACAAGGGATTGCTCAGATGAGTAAAGGTTGGGCCAGATCACATTGTTCAACCCCCACCATATTTCAAACCACGTTGACCACAAAAGCGGCAGCACTTTTTTGACTTCTTTTGCTCCTTTTTTGCTCTGGAACTTCTCCTCCCCACCCCGTGCAAGCACAGCCACAGCGCTCAGAAAGTACTCGCCCTCAGCCACAAGTGCTTCTAAGTAGCTTCCTCAGCTTGCGTATTTATCAGGAATCAGGAGTGCTTTATGCTTTCCAGCTTGGGCTCTTAGAGAAAGAAAACGTCAAAAGTGGTTGCGCAGCAACAGATGAACCACAAGTGAAGCAACAGGCTGACACCAGCATCACCAGGAACTAATAAACTTCTGCTTTAGCTTTAATTGTAGGTGTGACTACACATTTTCTTGTACTCGCTGCAGTACTTTTGACTTGCTTTTTTTCCTTTGAAAGGGTCTTTTGGTAACCATGAAACACTCCCAATATGGCTTCCTGTATCAGAAAACGAAGTGTAACGAGGTATCAGAGCATGCAGTTGTTGTACAACCGTGTTGCAGGGTTTCCTGGGTCTGGTTGTATTACAGACCGTCGTTCACCACCTCAATTCATCTGTTACAGAAAGGTTACACTTGAGTTACTGCAGACCACTACATGATACTGTCAGAAAGCTCTCAGGCTGATCTTCTTGGCCATGTGTTCATTAGCGATGGCCAGAATATGCATTTTCTTTGAGCGAGAAATTCCACTTTAAGTGTCCTTACACATAAGCCTACAGCTAGACCAACAGCTCGATTTGGCTTGTAGCGCAACATGCAACAAGGCAAAAGACCTGGGCTCAAGAGTACTCATACTCCTCAGGCTGGCGAGGAGGAAGGTTAGCTAGCGCTGCATGAGCAGGAGCACCTCCAAGCAGTCACGGTGTTTTGCCAGAGTGAAACTATTGTATACTGAGGAAAGGGACTTTTCACGGGATAAAACGGCAGCCCAGAACGCAAGGGCGGGTGAGACTGACCTGTGAACTCGACTCCCTGTTTGGGGGTGGTCAGAACCCCCTGGGCTTATGCCTTGGGCCGGGATTTGGTGGGCGAGAGAAAGCCCAGGCTCAGATGCATGGGTTACCCTGCTGCAAAAAGACAATATATAATAGAAAGTCTAAGCCAAAGATGTTCGTATCAGTTATAACAACGAGGAAGACAAACGCTTAAAAAAGCAGTGCAAATTAACAAAGGTCAGAATCGCTATTTGGCAAAACGCATGTTCCCTGGGACCTGTTTTAACACAAGCTCCAAATAAAACTGTCAGCTTACTCACAAAACTCTCATTATCATTCGTGGAGAACTCTAACTGACTTTCATAGAATACTTGTTTTACCAGGCCATTTCATCAACCATGTTTCTGAAAAAACTGCAGAAACATTTGGCCAGTTGGCATTCCTTCTGAATGTGAATGAAGGAATCAGAAGGATTCTGAATTCTTCAGTTCTGTATGAACTGAACCATCTGCCTTCAGTAAAGAAAGCAAATTTTTTTAGAAACATCTAGAAACAACTAAAAATGTCCCAAAAGAGCCTTATCGGACTCCACAGAGCTACAGCCTTAGCAGAAGCCTTGTTCACGCAGCTGTTAGGTACAAGGCATCTCACAAAGGTGTGAGCAGTACATTTTTCAGGAACTGCCCAATTTGTTTGCAACCCTCTTGTCAGTGCTGCTCGTGAGGTATGCAGAGCTCAAACCTTGCTCAGTGCTTAAGAAATTTTGCTTGAATGATTAATGGCATGAGTCTCTATCTGGTACTTGGCTGTATTAAAAAAAAAACCCTTTTGCATAATATGGGCAGTTACTGCAGACTCGTGCATATATCAAATAATTTTGCAGGCAACCATACTAGTGTGCACCTGCTTAAGAGAAAAAAATTAAATTTTGCACAAGGTATCACTATAGGGATTAACTACACTGTTTCTACTACTAACAGGAGACCAACAGTGTTATGCCTTTCTTCCATCTCAACAAGTATGATTCATTGGACTCCCAGGGGCCACACAGGTGGACTTTCTAAATGCCATCCACCACTTCAGAACAGATTTCAGTGTTCTCCTGTTCAGTGTTCTCCCAGAACAGGCAAGAAGGTAAATTTGTCTGGGAAAAGCCTCCGTGTATTCTGAGCCATTCTCAAAGCAGCTGGCATTGCTTTTTGTTTTCCTAAATGAGTAAATGCTGGCCACAGTTAGATCATTCTCAGTCAATTTTCTCAGCTCACAAAGGAAGTTCTCTCTCTAACCAGAGCCACTGTGCGCCCTCGGGAGTTCTCTCCATTCCTCACCGAATTGGCACAGCATGTAGATCATGCAGTGGGAGCTTTCTCTCCAAGGGGTGACAGGCTTGGACTTGGACAAGTCATGCAGTCCTGTGCAGTCCAGGCCAGACCCCATCAGGAGAAAGAGCATTTTCCTGCCTGGCAGGTCTCTCCCAAGAACAGACACACTGTGCTTCATCCCTAACAGGCTACTGCACAGCCCTTGGGAAGTACAAGCCTCCTCCCTCTAGCACCAGGGCTGCTGCTGGGTGGAGAGACCGCAACAAGCAGCAAGAAGGAAAGCAGAGAATTAGATGGAAATTCAGTGACACCTTTAAAAGACAAAAAAAAAATTACAGGGAAAAAGATTTCCAACTCACACTCTCTGTCTACCCACTTACTTAGTGCTCCGAAGTTCTCAGAGCAAATGTGTAATGTACCAGCTGAACGGCAGAGAGGAAAAAATAATTGGTGTTTTTCGCTTTTACTGAAAACAATACTCTTCCCATGCATTTATATTCACTCTAGAGTAAAGAGAGCTGATCTGGTTTCATTCTTTATGGACTAATTCAGCCCCAATGTACACCTCTGCTGAATGACAGAATAATGGTATCATTAACTTAACTTTTTTTTTTAAAAGCAAGTTTTGTTTAAGAAATACAAATGGAAAATTAAAGAAAGCACAGGACAAGTTTCTAAGGAAGAATGTGCAACCTCATTTGTATTCTTGGTAGTTTGGTTAGACTAATTTTGCTTTTATCAAACTGTCTTATGCAAAGAGAAAAGAAAACTAGCAAAATAATGCTGCAGTAAAGAGTTTATCAGCATTAAGACCAAGAGCACAGGGGCACTTGACAAGACTCCTCCAAGGAATCTGGGGCTAAAATTTTTGGTTCTATGTTGCCATTTTGACCATGCAGTGTTGTAATTGCAATCTGCATCAAGCTATTACTTCTGTAACTTGTAACAGAGAGTCTTCTTTACAAACCTTTCAGAGCCTACTCACCTCAAGACAGTGCACTGCAGGGGGAAGAAAGGTTTCAAAACAAACTCAAAAGCCCCGAAGAAGGCAGGGCTCAGAGAGGAGTTAGCATTATTAGTTTCCAGCAGGGTTGATATCAAGTCCATTTGCCCATACAGGTGCAAAGTTAGTACTAATGGTATGGGAAAAGGGCAGTCATCGCCACTGTAGTCAAAGAAGGGGTTGTTCCCGTGTGGCGCAAATGCAGCAAGAGCAGACCAGTGCTTGATAAGCCCAGAGATTGTTTCCAGCCATTCACCACCATTCACCAAGGGAGCCTGAACCAGCAGGCTTAAGTACGTAAGAAAGGCTCTTTCCTTATGGAGAGCACTGCACACATGGTCTCTTCAGTAAATGTAACCAATAAATCAGTAAGAAAGCAACCCTAAGCCATACTGGGAAGGTCTGGGGATCAGTCTCTGGGTAAGGACTCTCATTACCCATTTATTGCAGGGCTTAGTCAAGACTGGCTGTTTCAGGCTTACAACAATAAACTTCAGGGTACTCTCAAAGCAGACAGATACCTCTCCTAAAACCTCCAGGCAGGTACGCAGAGATACAAATCTCTAACTCTGCAATGGCCCAACCCAAGGTGAAGACAAGGGTAGGAGACAGGTTATCAGAAATTCAGTATTGAACCAGGATACACTCAGCAATGGCAGTTTACTGTAGACAAAAGCCTGCAGTGATGGTGCAGGCTGCCACCATCATTGGGCATTGCTATGGGAACGACTGTGAGGAAGCCTACATAAAAAAGAAAATTGATAGTTAATTTTTAAATAATACATACAAAGACGTTGAAATACATTAGCCAAACCATTTACCAGATTATCAGTCAAAAATCAGAATGGGCCTCAGAGCAAAAATGCAGCTGTCTACTTTTCAGCACTCTTAATGTCCATCTACAAAACTTAAGTATGAAAACTGTACTTTTTGGCTTTGCTGTTATAAGTTCAGACTTACTCAGTTGAATTAGAACGTGGCCTAAATCTTTTGCCTCTGACTTTCTTTCTGTTTCCTCCTATATTACCTGAAAGAAATCAAAGGATAAAGACAGACGGTAAAGCAACTTGAAACTCACCTGCGTTCCATGCCAAACTGTGTATTCTTTTTGCATCCCCAGCAAAAGAGTCGTTACCTCACTAGTTTTAACAATTTAAAAGTCACAGGTCAATCGCTCTTGATTTACCTCAGACTATGTAAACCTGACATTTAGGTGATCTTTCTTTACTTTTTGCTGAAAATGCACAGAGCAAAAAACTCCTTAATTTCAGCTTTAATTTCAGAACATCACTACACTTCACTGAACACTAAAAACACTAAACATTGCCTGATAAAGTCACAGAAGCTGGCAAGAGTGAACAGACTTCTTCCTCTTTTTTTGTGTTAGCTCACAATGAGAGAAATTAAACGTCATTTCTATGTGACAAAGCATTGTGCAAAAAAGGTACTTGTGTAGGGTGCTGCTAAACCCCAATTCCAGGTTAATAACAATTAGCACAATTTTAAGGAGTCGTGCTGCTGTCCTAGGATCAGCTAGACTTTCAGCAGAGCAGTAATGGCCCAGAGGCTAGTTTCCACTGTGGCCAGCACAGAGGTTCACACTTACCTTGCCAAGAATTACTCCTAGGCCTCCCATTTTCACAAATGTCTGAAATGTGTTTTGTGTCTGGGATCCTTTCACTCCAGGAATGAGATAATCCATTTGACCTGGAATAGGAGGGCTCAGATGCGGTTATTTTTAAGGGTATTGTCTCACATCAGTGTTAGCTCATTCATAGAGTCACACTCCCAAGGCCAGTGACATAACAGCCTAAGGTCTGTCTGCACTAGCAGAGCATCCAGGACTTCTAGTTAAAACCCTGCAGTTACGCTTCGCCAGCTGACCCCACAGCAGTTTGGCGTGCCCATGTTCAACAGACAGGCTTCAGCGCTGCTTCCTCGCACGTCTGCTGTGGAAAACACAAACACCAGCGCGCACCAGATTTCCTCTGGATCTGCAGCTCTGCCCCAGTTCTCAGCTGGAAGATGCTCTTCCAGCTGCGCTTGCCTCAAGGCTTTTTTACCTCACAGTCAAGCGCATCCTGCCTGCAGGCTGCCCACTCCCTCCTCGGGCTGCTGCACGAAAGCCAGGACTGCTTCCCTTACTCCACTCCTACCAGCCTCGGGAGCCCAGGAGTCTGTAATGAGCATCCTCCCACCCACAGCTGGTAGCTCCAGTGGAGGGGTAACTCTGCCTCATTTTTTCTAATTTTGAATTTTTATTATGTTTTGTCATCCAGTCACTGCAGTATAAACTTCTAATGCTAAATTCAACGCCAAAACCGGTTTTTATATCTAGATGCTTGGAGCAAACTGAAGTTTTTCTTTCCTCTTGTATTCCCTCTAAGAGCCAGAGATGTGTGTGGCGATGTCCAGCACATGGGGTTTTACAACAGGCTCCCTCCTGTTGAACCAGAGCTACTGATCAGCTGTTTGGCATGAGATCTACAATTATTTCCAAAGGAGAAGAAAACAAGAGGAAGCTGAAAACTGGTCAGAATAGATGGCTTGCTTATTACAGTTTTGTTTAAAGGAACTATTTCTGTAGTTTCTCAGTGAACACTCTTGCATTTTTCCATCTCTGCTTTCCTTGGAGGGCAGGCATCTGAGAGATGCTCTTCAGCTTCCAGAAAACCAGGCTAATCCCAGCCACAGTGAAGGAAGCCCAGGTTTTCATTAATTCAAACTTCATTACAGCATGAAAGGTCTGAGAACGAACAGATCCACTGACAAATTTTTTAATCATTTTCTCCTCCTAAAGGTCTATTTTCAGGCTCAGGAATGTCTTGCCATGTACTGGTTTTGCGGTTTGCTATTTCATAATAGCAGGAATTATCATAAAGTTATTTCTTAATCCTTGAACATCCTCTGAATACCAACTAACACTTCATAGTGCTTTCCAGCATGGAGACACCCAGGGAGCTAATGGCCTGGTCACTCTAACTTCTCCCAGGAGATGCCATCCATATCTGCACATAGAGCAAATCAAAACCAGCTTGGAAGGTAGGAAATAGCACTCTGGGCATTCAAATGGAAGGACTACGTCAGCTCCACCACAATGTTAACGGAATATTGGTCCCACTTACTTTTCCAGACTTGACAGTGGCACAACATACCTGAACTGGTGGTGGGGAGCAATAAAACTTTCTAGTACAGACAGACCTTAGAAACCATTAGCTTTTTTGAAACAAATAATAAACAGAGGCACATGAAAGAAATGAAGTATGAAAAGAAAAACAGATACTAGATGAAAGAAGAAACGCATTAAATGACATTCATTTAAAAAGAAACTTTTCTTAACTCGTATTTGAAACTGCTTACACAAAGCTATGAAAACTTGCTTTCCCAAGACTTTTTTCAAAATTTTTTCCAAATGAGAAAAGATTCTCCAACACAAACAGTGCATCATTTAAGATTAACGCTTGCTCCCTGAAAAATTTCAACCACTCACACATCTAAAAACCTGAATTTAAAAATTAGAAATCATTAATTAACCACTACTACAGTTCTCCTAATAACATATTCATTAGAACAGACTGAATGAAGTTGCATATAGGATCAAGCTGCTATACCCAAATAACAAATGTCACTGCTAATATATCCCTTCCATACATTTCTTTTTACTTTCCTTGAAACAACAACAAAGAAAATGGCTTCATCAACTGCACAGTTATAGACTGCTTAGTGAGACAAGAATTGAGAATTGCAGTTTTCTTATGAAGCAGTTCAGTATTGTCTATTCCTCCTACACTTTTGTGCATTGTTTTAGAGTGCTAGCTAGGGATTTTCATAATTAAAGGATCTCTAACTGCAGAGGGATGGTGAGCATCATGATTTAATGACCTTAGCAATTACAAATGACTCTCAATGGTTTTCAATGAATTTTCCATTTTAAAATGTTGTTGGGTTTTTTAAGTAACTGGAACAATAACAGAATTAGTGAAATCTGATCAAGGGCAAAATGTAATGCCCTCCTTGGTTACTCATAATAGCAAGCACAAAACTACAGAAAGTCTTTGTAGAATTATTTTCTAAAATAACACTTGGTGACCATTTAGTACACTAGTCTAGCAAGTCGAACGAAATGCAAGCACCATCATCTTTAACATGAGACAGCAAGAATGTTATCCGGAAGCCTAGGTCAACTCAGTGAATTAATGACAGTGACAAATACAAATATAAAAATAACATTTATATTGAACATTTTATGTTTATAACTATTACTGAAGCAAGACAGTGTTACTTTGATTACATGACCATGATTGAAGAAGTTGTGGGATTTTATTTCTTTTTTTTTGAGCCAGCAATTATTATTACAGTCTACTTGAAAACAATTCTCAAGCAGGAAGATGATGAAAATTTTATTAACCAAAAATTGGTTTACAATGGAAAACTTGTTTATTCTGGCCTAATTGTAGGAATTAGCAGCTCAGGGCACATGAGAAAAATCAGTAATCAAAGCACAAAGGATGCTATTTCAAACATTCCACAAAGAAATAAGAAAGAATCAAACCTGCTGCAAAACAATGAAATGTTCTGACTAATGGAATAATGGGTGATGGAACAGGTAGAAATCTGAAAATGCGACAGAAAAGCAGACCTCTTCTTAGAACTAGATGCAGAGTTTGTGCTGACTCCAGGAGGCATGTCGCTATAAAAAGAGTCGGCCTCTCCAGGCTTTTTTACATAATCTCCCTGGGGTATTTGTCTAAAGTATAATAAACATCGTAGAGTCAGAAAACATGACAGGCACCAGCACACACACAAACATGCACAAACATTAGTTTAAAAGAAAGAGGCTAGGATAGCGATCCTCAAGGAAACCTGTTAACCACACACAATAAGCCCATTAATAAATAATTCAACCATCCGAGAGAAAACTCCCACATGCTTCTGATATGTGCAGAAAAGTGGATTATGTGGTTTTGGTAAGGGAAAACAACGGACTTTTCACTGATAACTCTGATCACAATTTTCGAAGTCAATAGCTTGTAGTTCTTGAGACATTAGATAACCAAGTTCAGACATTTTAAAAGCCTCATCATGCTGGTTGCAAAAAGCATCCCCAGGTACAGTACGAGTACTGCAGTACTGTACTGAGTAATGCTCAAATGCACCAAAAAGGAGCTCAGGAAAAGTGAATGCTTTTTTCCTTCGAAGGTAGATGCTTTCTATTTAATTTTTGTGATCATTATTGAATTCAAGAATAGCAACCTGTTGAGTTGTTTAAACCTCAGGAGAAGAAAAACCCCCAGTTTATTAACTGTTTTCTTTTTTGTGCAGGGGAACTAATGCCAATGGCAGAAGTTCTCAGCTACTTCCAGTTACCACAGTAGACTCAACCTGCCAAGACACACAAAAGTAACGCCACACATATCTGACAACAGTTTATCCTTTTCCAGTACTAGAAGCTCAGTTATGGTGGATAAAACTATCTATGCATTAGAAAGTCCTAATCAAGTGATGCTACTTGTTTGCTGATGGTGAATTCAGTGCCAGCAGAAAAACTGCCATGCAAATATTCCAGTTACAGTTCCAGCAAATTGAAAAATCCTCCCTAGCATAAGTAGCTAATTTGAAAGTTGGTTGTATCATAATACCAGCCACCCAATTATCTACTCAGCCTTGCCCTTTCCAAGGCCTTTTTCCTTCAGTCTGCCCCGATTAAGATGCATATTTGATTCACATTCAGATTGTGTCCAATTACAGTCCTGAACTGGGCTCTCTTCATTCCATACCTGAATTTCTAATGCTCCTGAAGTATTTAAAATATATAATTACATGGCACATAAATCATTAGTGTAATGCACTACTACCACACTATTTCTTCTAGCACCTCTCAAGTCTCACTTCTTGTCCCACTCCTCAGCTGGTACACGGGCATGTTCAGAGTTGACGGCGCAGGCAGCCCTGCTCCTCAGGGTTCCTCCAGCAAACTGCTCTCTTGCTACTCCCACAGAAATAACTTCTTCCATGTAGCTGTGCCCTTTAAGACACACTATCCCCACTGGCAGAATCCTTGCTAATTGTCTCTTTTTATTACTTTCCATTTACTTGTTTCAGTTGCTTCGTACTACCAAGTATAATTCCTTATGTAATGCTCAAAAATACCTCAATGGCTTGTTTTCATCTTTAGTTAAGGAGTAATCATAAACAAATTTTTTTAAAAAGGACACTCTGGACACTCTGGTGGATGTCTGTTTTTTCCATTTATGGAGCACTCCTTGTACATATAAAAATTATTCTATTTAGTCAGCCTACAGAACTTCATTTTCTGCATGAAGGAGATTTAGTTACTAAATATCTCCATCATCTCTAAAATGATGGAGCCCTCCCATCACCTCCAAAAGCCTCTTAAGCTTATGCTGGTTTCCACTCTGCCCACGCTCACAGTCACAGCTTCAGACTGACTGCATACTCACAGCTCTCTGTCCATATACTAATTTCTGCAGATGAGGGAATTTGAAAAAGTTAGATTCTCTAATCTTCCAGTGCAAACATGCATGGGGTGGTCTCTCTCCATATTTCAAGGTTTTGGCTGCTCTGTCCTCAGCCAACACGGAAACATCCACAGTAGAGTGACTTGATGGCCATGTTAGTCTGCGCTTACAGATACGTGGTCTTCCACTAAGCAGCACCAAACCCTGAAATTCTGTCTTCCTTGTGCTGGGTGACATTTCCTACCCACCAACCTATCCAAAAGGCTTGACTTTTGGATAGCAAAATAGCTTTGCCTTTCTCCTGTTACTGTTCCTGCTACCTATCTGACCTTGTAGTACACAACCAGCACCTGGCAGCGCTCTTCTGCTTTTTGCAAGTATTTTGAGCCTGGCAGAGAAAGCGCTACACAGGCAGGGGAAACAGAGAACAAGCACAACGGGTAGCGGCAACAAATAAACCAGCAGCTTGAACCAGGAGGTGGTGATACAGGCAGAAAATGAGAAACCCTCTGATCTGTGGGGACTGGGAGAGGAAGGAGCCAACTCCTTCCTAGAAGACCCATCTGCCAGGCAGATGACTGATCAAAGAGAGGTGGTCTTCCAGGAGCCGAACCCAAGTCACTAGGAACTGTTTGGGTTTTGGTCACAAGCTTGAAATGGTGAAAGCTCAGCCCTGTGCTGAAGATGTACCGTGCTTTAGCTACAAATCAATCAAGCAAGGTGGCAGGTAAAAATGGGCTTTTCATTCACACAGCAATTTTACTGCATTGTATTTTTAACTGCAAAGCAGCTCCAGGAATGAATTTGTCTCAAAAGGCTCCTGAACATCATGTTAATATTATTCATTCAATGCTCAGCCTCCCAAGAACACTTTCATCTCTAATAGCAGATTTTCAGTCTCTCTTATTGAAAATATTCTCCTGTTTTCCTAAATAAAATAGTCTATCTCAGAAGTACACATTATTTTCGCTACTGAGTCCAGTGAAATCAGGATTTCAAGCAATGCATTTCTAGAATAAATACCAATTTCATATATTCAAGCAAATATTCTTTAAAATAAAATTCATCACATAATTTTCTTTATAGCATATAAATGAGTAAGAGAGAAGAAAAGCTCTTTTCAGAGCTTTCTAAGATACATTCCATTACTTTTATCACATACCTCTGTCTTCTGTAGTTTCTTTCCATACAAAGAAAAGAGAAAGAAAGAAGAATGAGTTATCAGTATGCAGGTATACATGGTCAGTAAGAGAAAAAAACAATGTAAAGAGAAAAGCAATTAGGCAGAATGAAATTTTTGCTCAAAATATTTTTACATAAAATACTTCTGAAATAAACACAAACATACTAAATCAGAATAAACAAGGCAAATATATTCCTGTTGATGGCTAAAGTCAGTGCTGAGTTGGAGGTGCAGTTCATGATGACTTTAAGTCTATTCACTGTGAAGCTGCCAGTGAAAGGTACACTCTTGCCCTCCACCTCCAAAAACTAATCCCACTGGCTAGATGTGATCTCAGAATGAGCCTTAACTTCTGGGGTTGTACTTAAGTCCAGATTTTCAGATACTGCCAGAAGCTGCGGGCGATGTACCAAGACAGCATAACCCACCTTTTTACTATCCTAATCTTCATGCTTTTTTCCAAATGCTTCTTTCCTTACGTATTTCTGAGCTGCCCTCTGCCTACCTGGGTCTAACAAAGCAGCAGGGGATGTGCCAGTTCGTTATGCCAAACCACTGGGGCCGTGTCCCAGCTACAGCACTGCCTACAGCTGAACCTGCCCTGCCCTCCAAGCACACCAAGGACCCGTGGAGGAAGGACTTCAAGAGCCAGTCTCACTCAAACACAGGTGACAAAGTAATCTTTTTTAATACATGCAAAAACCCAAGTCCCTCTGTTTGTTAGAAGAAATTCATGAAAGGACAAAAACTGAAAAAGATCAGTTAGGCTAAAATAATCATTTTGCCTCTCAGTGAGCGGAACACTGACAGTTCTACACCAGGAGAGAACTTGCACCTTAGTTGCATATTACAGATCTCTCTTACCAAAGAACGTGCCTGAATTACTTTCAGGTTAAGCTGGATGAATATAAACACCTGTTTAAGGAAGCCTATGGTTAAATGCTTTACTGACTGACTGAAAGCTAATCTTGCTAAATTTACTTTGTCATTAGGAAAGATTTATAATTGAATTAGACTGTATTCTTGTATTTCCTTTGTCAGATACAGTAAAATCATAATCTGATCATCTACAAAAGAAGAAAAAAAAACCTACATAAGAAATCAATTTCACACCTGGAACAAGCTCTCCAAAACCACATACACATGTAAGAATTGCTTGAAAAATGCTAATACTATTAAAATGTCGCTATATAAGCATAATCCAATTTGGATTTTTTAGATTATGTTTGAACTGTTCTTTTCATAAGATAATCAGCTATCAAATGAAATAAACATATTTTTAAACTGTATTAAGAAGAACACAATTTACTTACTTGTAACCCCAACCAGTTATTCCTAAAACGAGAGCCAACACTAAAATGGTGCCAGCAATAGCCCCTATTATTATATTTGTGCTAACAACACCTGGAAACACAAGAAAGGGGAAAAATATACAGGGTTTTAGGAGAAAAATATACAAAAACTGCAAATGCACTGTCTTTCAAAAAGCTGCTTGGACAACTTGCACTAGGCTGATTAATTCCAACCAGTGATATAATCCTGAAGTATAGCATGGACATGAAAATATCATTTGTAAATCAAGCTTTGGCCTCTGTGTCTGTTTCCCTTAACTGAACACTTGCTACATGGGAAAGTTGTGCCAGCTATGCCAATATAATGTTATCAATACTAAACTGCTATAGCTTACATCCTTATAACCTGTCTGGCAAATATATGCTTACATTGGAATAAAAGTGACTATTTGGGGTTTTTTTCTCAAATCTCTTCCATAGCTGAATATACTATACTAAGAGACATTCTGGAAGACAGTAAACTGTCCCCCCACAAGGACTTACAATGAAAAACATTTACACCCTCATTTCTCCACAATGTAACTTTCTCTTGTATGCAAGCTTAAAGACGATTAAAAACTTTCACTCAAAAAATATAGAAGTCTAAAATTTGTGTGCCAACATTCTGCATACTGGCCATGTAATAAAAAATTTACTCTACAAATGAAAACCAGTCATGTAAGTAACATTAGCTTTCCATCTAGATATGGAAAGTCCCAGTAACTTTTTGCTTGTCCTAATCTATCAATATATTTAATAAGGCCACTCAGATGATTCGGACAAGCAAGATACAACCAGACACACTGGTATCAGTCCCGAAAGGTGTACTGAGTGCTGCTGAGTGGCACTGCTCACATCCAGCCCCAGGTCTGAGACCTTATTCACAGACACCGACTGCTGCTGCTGTGGGAGGAAGGGAAGGGAATGAGGCTCCTAACGGTGCATTGTGTTGTGTGCTAACTGAAAGAGTAGGAGATCTGGTTTTGCTTCATGAACCTTCCTCAAATCCAAGCTTTTGCAGTTATGGGTAAAAATTATAACAACGTACCTTTATTGATGGCATCTTTATAAAAAAATGTATCATCTTTGATGCGAGAACTGCAGTCATCTCCTCCCCAGAATCGGTCACAAACACACTTTATTTCATTGCTGCAAACCTGCAGCCGAAAATGTAGCTCAGAATAATAATGTAAAATTAATCTAGTACCATAATTAATACCTACAGTATAGTTACAGTCATATAGCACTGATTCTGACTGCCTGCAAAATTTTGCAGAACATTTTTAATATACAGCAGTTTTTAATTTATATTAGATATACATGCATTAAATGTATTATTATACTTTTATATAAATATGTGTAATATGTATTAAGTACCTGAATATATTTAATGTAATACATTTAAGAAAGCCATTTATAATTGTTTTGGGAGACTGAATCTCAGTGATTTTATTTTTTCAAATATGATGAAGTGCTTAACTTCAGATAAAACAGGGAGTTTTAATGCATTGTAAAAGACAAAAGACATTATGAGAGAACAACTCCTTTGATCTCAGCTCAGGCATAGGAACCTGGACACTGTTTTGAACTATGTCAGGACAAGGGGACTCGCCAGGGCCACAGCAAAGCCATAGGCTGTGCACCGAGCGGAGAAGCAGCCACTAGCCAAGAGGCAGCTCACTGCCCTCTTCTCTAGAGCAAAGTAACTCTCAGCCAACAAAATCCAACAACTTTATGAACCTTCTCGGCTGTTGACACCATCAAGATGGAATTAAAAAGAGCATCTGGAAGAACAGAAACCCAAGTTTCTCAGTTCATAAAACCTTTATATTCTCCAGTACGTTGCCTGAGGAAATATCAATCAAGTTAGCAGAAGGGACAGCAAAAGAATCGACTGATAAAATTTTTGCAAAACTAATACATACTTACTATGACTCACTGTTTATAATGCCTTGACTGGTATGCATTATGTTTACTTAAGTGCTTCCTCCCCCTTTCATTTTTCAAAAGCTTCTCCAGTATAAAGACTTCTAGAGTCACGCTGCTGTCTTCCTGAAAGGTCTAGCTAGTACACTACACAACACCAGGTATTCAGCAAAAACAGAGAAAAGGATTAAAGAATACAAGAACATACCCCATGTCCTGAACAAATTTGGCTGTCTGTGGTGCCTGGGCAGGTACTGAAGTTGAAGGCCTCAGTGGGGAGGCAGCGATGCTCAAGGCACACCATGTTTGGCCCGCACGGTGTCCCGTTCTCCACATAGCCCAGGTCTGTCTCCTCATCGAGCTTCACATGGCCACCACTGCAAGACAATCAAGAGGACCCCAAAGACTTGTGCTGTGATTAGATGGGACTCCTTGAGAAACTGGGCTTTGGGCTGCTGCCTTCACTTCTGTGTTATATGATGCCCAGGACCAGGAAAAGAGTAAATATTGGCTTATTTATCTCACTAGCCCTAACGTGAAACAAACTAAAACACAGTATATCTACATCAAACAAATGTCATGGTGAAAACAAAGACCATTTTTCCCGTGCAAGAGCTAGTATTAGATAAAACACTGAGTCTACTTGTGTAGAACTTTATTTCATTTTACACTTGTGTGAAGCTGTGAGAACACACCAGGTCTATAATTGGGATTCAACTAACATACGGCAACGTAATAAGCTGCCAGTTAGCTTTGGCAGTGCAGGCATATGTCTAAGTACTTTGAGTACTTTAAGTACTTTACGAACATTAAAGAATGTAAAATCAAGAGGACAGAGAAAAGCATTATGTCTCTACAGGCAAAATTAACTACTACACAGGGGGGACTGCAAAGCAGCTGCATACCGCACACGCAGTTCATTTCCAGAAGCTTAACAAAGGCTGAGCTGGAATAATGGTTATGTGTTAATAGGAAAAAAAAATATTAATGGAAACAGTTGTTCTCCACTTAGGAATGAGAAAGCTGCTTTTCTATGCAAGATGGATATTGACTGTCTCTCTTCTGTTTTCAGGATTTGCAATTACCTGCAATTGTAGACTTTTCCGAACTGCAAGATTGACGATGTGATCTCACCATCAAGTTCTCCAAGTCTGGGCACACTGGATATATTGGAGCACAGAAGGTATCCACAAAGCACATCCCTGCATTGAGAGAAGAAACAGATATTCACCAAAAAGAAAATTCAAGGAAAACAGATGATCAAATAAATGTGGTTTTCTTCACTTGCTTTGTAACATGTTTTTTATTCCTTGCTTTTCTCCCACTGACAGTAACTCCCATAAATAATGTCTTGTTTCCCAAGAAAATTATTCTCCTCAGAGTTTAGACTGGGAAAGTCTTTTTTATGATGTATTATCAAAAATGTTCTCAGTAATAGCAAGCAGGGAGCTGTCAAGAACAAACCACATCAAACTGATTTAATATCCTATTAAGATACAGTAACTGGCCCATAGAGGAGAAGCAGTAGATACTGGCTTTAAACAAACTCTCATGAGACACATACGTGAAGGAACTAGAGACACCATGTTTAATTCAGCTGTCGAAGGGACTTTACAACTCTTAGAATCATAGAATCTTTGGGTTGGAAGGGACCTTTAAAGGTCATATAGTCCAACTCCCCTGCAATGAGCAGGGACATCTTCAACTATATCAGGTGGCTCAGAGCCCCGTCCAACCTGACCTGGAATGCTTCCAAGGATGGGGCATCTACCACCTCTCTGGGCAACCTGTTTCACCTCCCTCACTATAAAAAATTTCTTCCTTAGATCTCGTCAAAATCTACACTCTTTTAGTTTAAAACCATTACCCCTTGCCCTATCACTACAGGCCCTGCTAAAAAGTCTGTCCCCATCTTTCTTATAAGACCCCTTGAAGTACTGGAAGGCTGCAACAACGTCTCCCTGGAGTCTTCTCTTCTCCGGGCTCAACAATCACAACTCGCTCAGCCTGTCCTCACAGGAGAGGTGCTCCATCCCTCTGACCATTTTTGTGGCCTCCTCTGGACCCTCTCCAACAGGTCCATGTCTTTCCTGTGCTGAGGGCTCCAGAGCTGGATGCCGGACTCCAGGTGGGGTCTCACCAGAGTGGAGTAGAGGGGCAGAATCACCTCCCTTGGCCTGCTGGCCACGCTGCTTTGGATGTAGCCCAGGATACGGCTGGCCTTCTGGGCTGTGAGTGCACATTGCCGGCTCATGTCCAGCTTTTCCTCCATCAGTACCCCCAACTCTTGTACAGAGACTTGTGCACTGTCAGAATAGAAGGGTCTGGCCTCCCTCATATTACTGAATACTTTTTACTCATGAATTTGTAATGGAACAAAAGCAAGGTTATCAAACCTGCACAGAAAGATGACAAAGAACATTAGTTCACCTGTACGCAGGACTAGAATTTGAATTGTTTTGACAGAATGGAGAACTCACCTGAAAAACCAGGGTGCAGTTTGATAAGGACTGGTAAAAAGTTCAGAAACAGGCAAAAATAATCAACTGCATAAATACAGAATGTGAAACAATGGTTTAGGCAGTAGCTTGCAGAAAAAAAAGTGGAAAGTTGCAATATGATGAAAACTGAACACAATCTAGCAATGCAGTGGCATAGCATAAAATGTGACCATCACACTGACACATGAAACCACAGGCTGCTCTCCTCTGTACTGTTAAGCATCACCAAGAACAGTAGGACAACTTTTGGTCCAAGTGCTCCCAAAGCTCAGATGGTGCCCTCTTGTCAGAGATCATCTCCTCTCAATGCTCTGCTCCATCCAGAATTTCCTGCAACTAAGGTCTGCAGAAGAAGGCCAGGTGAAGTCTGATCCGTACAGAGGCTTTTTGAGCCCCTTCATGCCAGCTAAAGAACTGGATCAGGGATAAAAAATCTCATACCAGTTGTTTTCTAAATGGATCAACTTACTGTTTATTGCACTGTATCCAAGAGTCCTTGTCCCTTCCACAGTTTCCTTTCTCAGTCCCTTCAATATTGAGCTTCTCATAACAGTACCTGTCAGCAGCTGTCACTTCTAAAAACAGAAACAAATATCTTTTAAGATGATGACGACTTTGAAAAGCCAGGTCCTGGGAAATGGGGATACACAATTAAAGCAAGCAGAGCTTCCCAATCTGTGAAATGCAGTACCATGGTCTGCAGGTGGCCTGTGAAACTCTCCACAGTGTTCTCAATGAAAAGTTTTATGTTGGCACTACAGCACTGTTTTAAAATTTTGTTCAGATTGACCAGGGTTTATTAGTCCAAAATGTCCAGAAGCCACTGAAATACATCAATAAATATGAGTATAGGTTCCCTATGTGGTTATTAATGAAAACTTAAACCTAAGACTTCAGAATAATCACCAGTAAGTTAAACAACACTAGAGAAAGAGCTGGAAAAGAGGACAGAAGGACAAAATGAGGGGGGAAGAAGGGGAGGGACATGGAGTCCTAGCTGTTTTTGATGGTTCTGAATATGTCACTTCCATAATTTTTCTTAGCAAAGATAATCTTTCAAGCCACATGAACAACCAACTTAGAAACAGTAACATTCACTCACTTTCACCCCATATATATTTACACTGCCGGTCCCTGGTTTTACATCTTCCTCCAAAACAAATACCCTACAAAGAAAAGATACAGAAAAAGTTTCAATTAACTTGATTTTCCAAAATACGTATTTGTTTACAGATTTGTCACATGCTTTCTGTTGAGGCCACTAATATGTGATTTGACTTTCTGTATGCTAGTACGACTAGCATCCAAAACTCAGGAATGTCAGCAGAACTGTCACTGGGTCATTGGGTGACTTCCAAAGATCTTAAACCAAAATCTATAAACAGCCATCTATAAAAGCAGCAAGAATGGAAAACAAATTGAGGTGCTAATTACCTGCTTGTTGTCACATGAATATCCATCCATTTTATGAATATTGGGAGAACACTATAGAAAGAGAAAATAACTAATAGATCATAGATAAGACAAGCATGGAAGCAAAGTATACAACAAAAGTCATACAGAAAATTATTTCAGTATCACACTTTTTTTTTTCAGTATCAGCAGGTTTAATACAGCTGTGATACACCTTACTATACAAAACAGTAACATTCATAGTGATTGAGAGACTAAAGGTGGGTATTTTTCTATTTCTTGGATAGAAGCTATAAAAATCACCTGACTGGAATTTCCTGTGCAGTTCTCTGCAATATCACAATCATTCACCGCTTCTCGGCACAAAACTCCTTTAGGTTCAAACTGAAAAAAAAGGACAGAAAATTAGTATCTTGGTTTCTCCATATCTTGCCTTAAATGCAATGCTTCCTTGGACTTTTAACTAAAATAAGAAATGAGAAATACTCTTGTGCTGACTGAAGCAGCAAAACTCTCCTCTCCCTGGTGTAGACATTGCATCACTTAAGGCACCTGCCATTTACTGGTGCACGTGGTACCACTCTCTGAGGCACCCCATTCCACGTGCATCGAGTGTGGTTCCGAGCAGGATATCTGCTTTTCCAGGACACAGGACCCATGGGGTTTATCAAACCAATACTGCAGTGGCTTGCAGCATTATCTTGACCAGATGATTGTGCTTTTTTGTGACTATTTTACTCTTCTTTATAAAACCAGGAGAGTGATCCTGATCTTCTCTCTAGGGATTAAGAACATTGAAAAGCTCTAGGTATAAACACCTTGGTCATTACAATGCCCCATTACTGTTCTAGAACAGAAACTATTAATAAATGTACTGAATTCTGTATGGTTTTCTAAGTGACCAGACATTTAACAATGAAAAACGTACCAGTGACCTAACATAGACATTTTGGTTAAAGACTTCTGTGCTAAATCTCAAAACCTATAAAAGCAGGAAAACATTCCATTACTGGCAACTGTAAATGCTTCTGGTCATGGGCATACTACAGACCCCTTATTTTTCCCAAAAGGTTTCTTAAGTGCGTGGTGCCCAGCTCATTTTGCAGCTCTATGACTTTTTTCTTGACCTGCGTCCACATACATTTTGGGGGGAACAACTGCTACCTCCACAATTGGTGTGAACGGGCACGCATCAGTGGAAGAGCTAGACTCTGGTAGTTTCTCAGCCTTCGGCTTATCTTTTTCCTACCAGTCTCTGGAAAAATGCAGACAGACATGAATGTTGTCAGAGACACTACGAGAAGCTGGGATGTTTTGCTTGCAATCCTTCCTTCACTCCTGCTTTCAGGCAAGGTATTACAGGGGAAGGTTACTGTTATATTTGGTCTTTAGAGTTGTCCCGATTAACATCTCCTAGGGACACACGTTTTGCGAAATCCTGCCTTTCTCTTCATTGGCTCACCCTCGCCACTCTGTATGTAGATGAACCCTTGTCTCATTTGTAAAAATAATGTAGGTACACAGGAGCTTAATTTTTTTTCTGATAGTCTTTAATATGGTGCCCATGTGACTTGGATATTTGAACAAAATTCATCCACACTGGCAATCTGCTAATTTGTTTTATATTACATAAAAAAAAGGAATGTGCTTAGGGAAATGAGATCTGTTCCAGCATAATCTGTGCTTTTTCTTTTTTTAACATTAGGATGAGCACAAAGTCAAGAATGTGGTCCAGAGTTATTACTAATGCTCCTCCTTAAGGAAATGAAACCCTCAAATACCCACAGACAAAGATAAAAATATCACACATAGTATACCACGGTTTTAGTAACATTAATAATAATTATCATTATTACTAAATGAGTATAAACAACTATTTGAAGTCATATTTAGCTGGGCTCCCTTACAGCCAAGATCTGGCTTATTTACTGATGCATCAGGAAGAAAACCTTATAGTTTACACAGGGCTTGATTCCCTTTACTCAATGGGATTTCAGTCAGTCCAAACATAAAGAGACACAGGCAGACCTCATTGAAACTGAAGTCAGGTGTCTTTTAGATGAACATTTCTGAACAATTCTGCTAGCTGCTTTTGGTTTTGGGGTTTTTTTTATTATAACCTTCTCTCAGGCCCTCTGTGGTACGGTCTTCCCATTCAGTCTCATGGGGCAAATCCAGAGCAACACGTAAGGCATTGGGAGCACCACATGGGTAAGGATGTGCATGTTTAAACAAGGATGTCTAATGACACCTCATGGAACTTCAACCTCATTCAAACTTGTCTGAAACTGGAAGACTTTAATTCACCTCTGCATTTGATCACAATCTCTGGCCCAAGAAGCCAAGCCTAAAGGACAGAGAATAGCCCCAGAGGAACCAGTTTTCAGCCAATTTTAAAAGGTAAGTTTTCAGAAAAGTAATCACAAGGTGTGCAGGGAAAAAGACATGTGCTGTGGTGCCTGTAGCCACCTGGATGTATTCCCCCCAGGACACTGCAGTGAAGGTCACTGCCCTTACCCGGCACTTCCGACAGCAAAGCCCGTTGCTGCACTGAGAGCCTGCCGTCAGGGTGCAAGTATTGCAGCATTCTCCTCCTTCACTGGCACACTCCTGAGGAACACACACACTTATAACAGAATACATCGGAAAAGCAGGTGAGCCCCAAGCTCTATTATTACTTCTCATCTTAGCACACTACCTGAACAGATTTTTAATCAGGCTTTTAGGCACCTGAAGGCAGAAAAAGGCATGCACTGCGGGGCAGGAAGCTGCTGTTTCTTATGCAATATAGGAAATAATTTTTCTAATTTCAGTGTCAATCATTAAATACTGAAATTTTAGCATTGACCAGAGTCATCTTCCCATCCAGGAACATACTTTCTTTAACATTTTTTAAGGCCTGATTCTGCACAGGTAGATATTACTATTAGTCTTCAGAATTTATGTGATGATAAAATAAAAAAAGCTGGCCCACACTGTGTTAAACATGATGAAAAAAAGTTTAAGAAATGACGAATCATTTTCCGCAGGATGTTAACATTGTCTGTCTTCCTTCACTTAATGTTAATGGCAGCGATAGGCAGCACCATGTCCTGGAGAATCTACTTGCTAAGTTGAAGTACATTGCACTTACTGCTATCGTCCCACAGTCACACTCTTCTCCATCTTCCACAAAGCCATTGCCACATTCTGGAGGATCCAGAAGCTGCAGGGCAAAATCAGAAATCACAAAGGGCCTGTCTCTCCTAAGGGGATCATTGTCATTTTTATTCTGTACAACATACTTCTTGTAGCTAGCACTCCAAAGGCATTAACCAAAAACCAGTACCTACAACTACTCAGGGAGAAGCAACACAAACGAAATGTGCAGAGAACTAACAACTCTGTGAACTAATTCAGCAATATTGCTGACTCACATAGCGTCTTCTGTGCATGAGTGCCATTTTATAGCAGATTCAGCTTAAGCAGAAGCCACAATCAAAAAAAAAAGGTGTGACAATAAAAGAAAAAAAAGTCATTATTGTCACAGGGGTTGCAATTGCTCTTGTTCTAGAATTCAAGTGATGAGAGCTGCATCCCAGGCTGAAGCCTGCACTAGACCTTCAGAAGACACAGTCATAACAAAACTGTTGTTTGGGAACATGTGGCTCAGAAACGCAGGGAGAGGGGAGAGGCTGGGTTTCTTTGTCAGTTTTTGTCGTAGTCGGATGCTTTTTCCTTCCCTTTTTCTCTACCACAGCTGGGAACTCTCCGCACTTTTCCATAAGCATGTCACAGGCAGTTGAGAAAGTATAGCTGCTGAGGCTTCCTCCTCCCTTTCCCTTCAGCCTTTCCCCTAAACTATAACTTAAAATGCCTGTATATTTGCAATAGGGCTTTCCTTTCCCAAGGGCAAGATTCATTCACATAGGACCCATGATATGCTCTTTTTTAATGGACACTTACACTCTGTTCTTTGCGGTTTCATTGCTTCCCATTTCCTAAAATTTCTAAAGGTAATTCTTCAAAAAGATTTTTTTTTCTTTTGGGCATAAGAAAATGTAACAGTAGCTTTTATTACATAAATGAGAAGGCATACAAGTGTGTCATCAAGACTAAAATTTTGTAGATTGTCCTGAGTTCTCCAAGTAAACTAGGATTGTTCAAGAAACCACTCTGCTTGTGAGCCATCTGCACAAGTACATCGCTCATGACACAGAGTGTGTTTCTCTCCGGCTGCTGCCTTTCTGTCAGTAGCCCACAGGATGGAGCATCACCCCGTGTACTTCGCTGTGCCACAAACCAGCCTGAGGCTTGTGGCACAGGCTGATGTGCTATTATTAGATCCCCCTATTGAAATGGAAATTTGACTGCAGCTTGAAATGCATATGTAGAATTTAACATTAAATGTAAGCAAGCAATCTTTTAGAATTATTAAAGAGTTGTTAAAACTGCTTGTTTCCTACATATTTTTCCAGACATCTCAACTCCTTCAGTATCTCTAGGTGTGCTGCACAATACAGACAAGTAAATATGAAATGGAAGAAAAAAACATGAAAAGCAAATTGGATAACATTTCCCCAAAAGTCATGTAAGTCATCCATTCATTTGAAAAGAACACACGCTCAATCTGCTCCAGCAGTCATTGATATAACCTTCAGGACCACAGCTGATCTTACAATGGAGCACTGATGAACACTGCACCTTGTCACATCAGTTTTCCTTTATCTCAAATTAAGTTTGTGTTTCACCACCCTTCCTAGGAAACACATGTCTTTGACAGCCTTGTGAATGAGACAGACATCCATTGACAATAACTTTAAACCAACCCAAACAACAATACATAAAAGAGTCTAAATCACCCTCGCTTCCACATCTCACTTCACATTTCCACATGCCATTAGAAAAAATTGTAAATGCTGCCAATCTGAATTGAGATGAGAGTAATTGTTTTTTTTTTCCAAGTGATGGATGTGTAAATGAACAGAATTGCTAAAATAAGCCCAAGTAAAACACATTATTCTATGAAAACAATTTACTCGGCAAAGAAGTAAAACCACCTATATTTCTCTCTGTCTTTAATGAGATGGGAAAAAGCAAACTTCTAAAATGCAGGTGCATTTTAAAGAATGAGAAATCTTACATCTTATTAACAAAGTACAGTGCTTTCTCTCCACATTCTTCTATGAAAAGGAGACCTTTGAGAGATAAGCAGACTTAGCTTATCCAGATTTTATACCTTCTGTTCCCCGCTAACATTTACTGAAATTCTGTGGTTGTGGGAAGATGCACTTTTTCTCTGCTACTCCAGGAGGGATGTGCATCACTCCAGAATTGTCTTTCTCTTTTACATCCATGACCACCTCAGCTATCAAGTCCTTTCTGCCTTAGCCACTTTCCTTTGCTTGTTGAAAGACACCCATTAAATAGAGGATAATATTAATTATATATAGAAAAGAATCAAGATCATTATCCTGATTACTTTATATTTTAATACATGCTTCAACAAATGGAGCAGGGATATACTGAAACCCTGGTGCAAATCATCCATTGTAGAAGCGCTTGCATCTTGGATGGAGTTTCTTTAGCTTTGTTTTGTATTTATCTCCCTTAAATGTATCAGTTAATCATTTCATACTCTTTGCATCCTTCACATGAATGCACCTGCCTAGCAGACCAAAATTGAGACAAGAGAAGCACAGGCGAATAATCTCAAGAGATAATCCCCACTTCTCTTGATTTCCAAGACTCATGCAGCAAGATCTCTGATTTCATACTTTTAGAGGCAAATTTGGAGGGGATGAGTCAGTCATTTAAGTGGGTCCCAATGCTTTTGTAGGCTGTGCAGAGTCGCACGCGCTGGCCTGGAAGGAGCTAACACAGGGCTGAGATGATCCAAGCACTTCTCACCAGACACATTTCTCCCCCAGCACATGCAGTTCAGGGGATGACAGACCGGGGTGATGGTGATGGGGGACCATGTGGGCAGTGCCTGGGGAATGAGGAGCATGACAGGTGGCAGCAGCCACAGGCTCACCGGTGTCTGTCCCCTACTCCTCAAGGCTTTGTCTCCTGCTCTGCCTCTTCCAGCCTTAGAAAAACTAGTCCCAGTTTTCAAACTCTGTTCTGAGAGCCACTGTAAAAACTTTGCCTTCTCCGAACTGGGAGAATATCACCACCACTTGTAACTGCTGGTGCCTGCAAAGCTGGTGGGCTGCACGGCAGTGCACCCCCTGCAGCGGCTCCAGGAGTTGTGTCTTCATCTTGGGACAGATGTGAAATAAAAGCAATCTTACTTCAGCCTCCAGAGATTTGTACCAAAACACATCAGTTCAACAACAAATTAGAACTCAAGCTGTGCAGAAGTTTACCAAGACACTTGAAACCTGAACAAATACACTCAGTAACATATCTTATTTACAATATTCAGAACAGATTGCCTGAGGGATGGTTCTAGATCAAAGCCTGTAGGAAATCTGTTGGACATGAAACCACTTATTAAAAATTTATTTCAATATAATTTCTTAACTACTGTGAACTAAAATCAGCTACTTTCACTCATATGTTGCCATAAAATTTAGAAGTTAGAGAGAACCAGAAATATCAAAATCATAGGTGTTATTTTTTCCAACATTATAATTTTCTTTCTTCTTCATTTAATCTAAATCAGAAATAGAATGCAAATAATACTCAATAAGAAGGTAATGCTTACTTTGGTTGGTTTATTGAAAAGGCAGGCTCCACCTCCATTGTTTAAAAATTCATGATACTCTTCAATATCACACTTGGAGAACTTGCTAGGAAGATAGTACCTGCACAGAAATCCGGTAGCAGGATTACTTTCTATAGTGTTTTTACAGTATATTTTCTCTTTTTAAAATAGGAGAAGAAATATAATATTCTACTCTAGAAAAAGTACAAAACCACAGTGTTCAGAATCAGAATGATGATCTGCTTGAAACTCTAATTTGTAAATAATTTTAGTAAATGGCAAAGAACTTTCAACAATGACACAGAGTTCATGGAAAAGGAGAGGTGTAAAAGATTTCACTAAGTTACTTAATGCAAAATACCACAAATCATATTGCACAGTGTGTAGTTCTCACAAACATGACCTGTTCCACTAAAGGGCCTGATCTCAGAAATACATTCACTTCTTCCCATACATACCACAGGAGACAAAGATTGCTCACAGTTCATTTCCCTCTTAGATGAAATTGCTCTCCTGGCCCACAGAATTTTTATATAATAGAGTTATGCCATTTTAGAACATGCTTCCAACAAACATCAGCTAACATTTCAGCTTCCCTCTCTCATGTGCCCCACTGAATAAATTTCATTTGAGTACAGAGTGCCAAAGGCACAGTGCCTCACCTGAAAACAATATAATGCAGAGAATCTTTACATGGATCCTTTCTACAGGGAAAGAAATTTTCCCAAAGTAACTTAAGCAATCTTTATATTTAGGTTCTTACTCATGAGGATACTTATGCTTCAAGCAGATTTTGGAGTCTCCAGGGTGTTCCTGTATCAGCTCATCACTGGATAAAAAAATATTAGCAGAAGTGCTATACAAAATAATCCTGCATTGCCAGGAGTGACGGCTTGCAAAACATAATTGGTTTTTTCCATCTCTAGTGTTTATGATTCAGGTCTAACAACTACAGAGAATGTGGGATACACCATTGTTTATCAATCAACTATGTAAATACAAGCTTTTTTTGTGTACCTAGTTAAGTGAAACTTTTGGACTTCTGACAGAGAATTTAAAGACCATTAGAATCATAGAACAGAATCATAGAATAGAATCATAGAATAGAATCATAGAATAGCTTGGGTTGGAAGGGACCTTTAAAAGTCATCTAGTCCAACCCCCCTGCAATGAGCAGGGACATCTTCAACTATATCAGGTGGCTCAGAGCCCCATCTAACCTGACCTGGAATGCTTCCAAGGATGGGGCATCTACCACCTCTCTGGGCAACCTGTCTCACCACCCTCATTGTCAAAAATTTCTTCCTTGGATCTAGTCTAAACCCACCCTCTTTCAGTTTAAAACCATTACTCCTTATCCTATTGCTACAGGCCCCACTAAAAAGTCTGTCCCCATCTTTCTCATAAGCCCCCTTGAAGTACTGGAAGGCTGCAATAAGGTCTCCCCAGAGCCTTCTCTTCTCCAGGCTCAACAATCACAACTCGCTCAGCCTGTCCTCACAGGAGAGGTGCTCCATCCCTCTGATCATTTTTGTGGCCTCCTCTGGACCCGCTCCAACAAGGTCCATGTCTTTCCCGTGCTAAGGGCTCCAGAGCTGGACGCAGGACTCCAGGTGGGGTCTCACCAGAGAGGAGCAGAGGGGCAGAATCACCTCCCTCGACCTGCTGGCCACGCTGCTTTGGATGTAGCCCAGGATACGGTTGGCCTTCTGGGCTGTGAGCGCACATTGCCAGCTCATGTCCAGATTAGGCAAGGCATCACTTTTACAAGAATCAAGAATGCTTCTCAGATTGGCTTTTTAACATACTAAGAATCAGAAAAATCCTACCTAGTATGTTTTAAGGTAGACAAGGTAAAAAAGGCACACATTCACACTTCTAAAGCACTTTGAATTAAATATGCTTCTTTGTTCAAAATTGTTCTGACCACAAAGCTATTGTGAAAATTTGCACGTCATTTTGAAAATAATTTTAAAATTTGGAGCATTCTCTATATCTAAAACTAGACTATAGTTTAAGTCATACATATGACAAAAGACAGGCCTGTAATATGAAGAATTAAGGTCTGAATACACACATTAGAAAGCATAAAATTTCACCTAGCTGCAAAAATTTGCTGATTCACTAGTCATTAAATAAAATCTCTCCAGTGACATTGTATGTGGGTATAAGCATACTCAATCTCCAATGGAACCAATTTTTCTAACATTATCACACAAACTGAAGGATAAAAAACGGTACAAAAAAAATGACAGATTCCAACAGAAACACTGAAAATGAGACATACTTAAAAAATTTGATAATGGTATTTCAAGAATTGGGATGTGTCATTGTTTGTCCCACAACTCAACAGCAAACTTGCAGAAGAAAAGAAGCTAAGCATGCTTCTGCTTCTCTACAATGACCTGGTTTGGCTGTTGAGCCCTGTGCCTTTTGAGTTAAACCAGCAGCCACTAAAAATCCTCACAAATCCTCTCATTAACTCACTTATTCACATATTTCTTTGAAAGTTTCTTTTCTACGTATGTTGTACAGCTAACACCTTACTTTCTGAAAAATGATTCACAGAAAATATTCTGCTGAA